CTTTTCAATAAATTGTGAGTGTCCTGTGTAAATAGTCATTTATTAAATATTTCATTATAAAATAAATTATTGACACTTAATGGACTTTTTTTATTCAAATTTTTGGAAAACTTTTCTATTTTTATAACAGTACTTTCAGCCTGTTTCATGTTTTCATAGCCACATCTTTATGAAAAAAAAGAATCTATTCATAGGTATTTTAAAAACTAAAGAATAAGTAAGGCTCATGAATTAACTTTGTCTCTTATTTTCCAGGCATTAATTAAAAATAAGACTATGTAAATTTATAGATTATCCAAATATGACAGAATTAAGGGGACAATTTTATGTATCATTTTGTTGTACTCGATAAGTTAACTGCTAATATATAGGTCATTCTTCGCAGGTACAAACATACTCAGTGAAGAGTGCTCTAGAAAAGCCTGTACTGTCCTCAAAATACATACACACACACACACACACACACACACTCGCTTGCTCACTCACTCTCACACACTTATTTTTAAAGGAGTGGATGGGAAAAATGACCGAAAACGTCCTTGCTGTATGGTTTGGTAGCAATTTTGCCTTTTGCTTCTGAAACTGATACATTTGTGTTCATTGATTGTGGCTTTGAATGACGTTCTCCACTGTGAGTTCTGGTCAGGTTGCAATTGCATCACCCTTTTTTTCCTCTTAAAAGGCAATAGCGTATTTTCAAAAGAGATGAGATTCTTAAAGAGATATAAGTTTGCCACTTGCTTTATGTATCCTATTAGGATGTAATTTCTTAGTCTCTATTACCTGCACAGGCAGAATGACTTTATGCAGTATTTTGATGAATAAATATCAAAAGTAGCACCCTATTTTGAGCATCTACTCTGATCTAGTCACATCGTATATCCTTTTAGTATCATTAATCTATATGACAGCCTTGTGGGGTAAGAGTTATTCTAATCCCCATTTGATAGAAGAGTACTTATGAAAAATGCCGATGACAGTGTGCAGGTTAGTACATTGTAGCAGTGGTAGTGGTAATAATAGTAGTAATAGTTACAGTTGCTTTTGTGACTGTGGTCATCTTACAGCCCCACATTGCCACTTTAATTGAATTGATTTAAGGATATAAAGAGATAGTGAGATTAGAGGACACAGGATTCAAAGTCAGGTTTATCACACTAGGATTTATGCTGTCAAACATTACACCATATTGTTGTGGGTTTGTGGAGGTTTTGTTTGTCTGTTTTCATTTTAGATTTTCTGCATCTGAACACTATGCACATAGGCGCTTCATCCTTAAGGGGACAATTTTTCCAAATTGTATTAAGTTTTGATTTTTTTTTTCTGACAACATACTGGTATGTACCTAAAAGGCACATTTTATCCTTGATACATTTATTTGTATGCACTTACATCAGGGAGTCTTTTCAGTGAATTAGCTACCTGACTGGTTGGCTAATTCTTCAACCATTTGTCTAAGTATTTCCGGTTTCCTTGTTCTTATGCAATAACATAAAAATGTTGGCTTAGGGCAGCATATTCTCCATAAACTATATTGTCAAGTATAGTAACAGTATGCATTATTTATGTACTTTCTTTATATTACTATTATTGCCAATAAAGATAATCTTAATGTCTTAACTAATGATTCATAGTTTTACGTATAAAATTTAATCTAATGTATTAATTTCAAAAATATATTTATAGAAATAGAATATTGCCATATAATTTATAGTCACATCATATACCAGTAGATATAATTAGTAATATAAATTTAGCAGGATCTGTTATTTAGTATTTGTTTTTAGCCTGTGCTATGCATTTATTTATAATTAGTAAAAGTTTTTTATTTCAGGGAAATTTAAAATTGACAAGACAAATGGGGAAAAAAAATCCACCGAAGTGTGGTTCATTTTTCTTAGTACTATGTATTAAAGACATTATAAGGCCACTTTAAAAATCATGTATTATTTGTTGACTCATAGATTATGTTTACATTATGTTTATTAGATAAGAACTATGTGTTGAGATTCCATAGACAGCATAGCAACATACTGAAAGCTGTGCTAGCCTTTAGGAATGCTGAAATATTAAAGTTCATTGATTCCAGGGAGCAACTATTTATTTTTGTGTGCTCGGAATTTGTCTGGTACATATAGAGGTCTGATTCATTTTAAATGCTCTAAATCAGATTAGAAAGTAACATTTAGCAAAGTGTATATTATCCACTTTGCATACTTCCGTAAAAGAAAAAAAGTTACATAGTTACAGTATGTGGATAAGAACCCCTTTGCAACTTAAATTTTTTTCTTGTATTTCTCTCTTACAACTGTGAATACCTGTAGTAATGAGCAGGGACATTATTGGCACAGCCAGCCTTCAGAATATTTGCTCACTTTATGCCAGCATGAGGTTTACACTGCCACTAAAACCACTGCAATTTTTAGTTTTTTTATAAAGCCCTTTCTTACACATTCTTACTTCATCTTCACAAGAACCCAGTGAGAAGGCAAATGGAGTGGAGATTTGTCATTTCTACCTGCCAGCATTCCAAGGCCCTTTCTACTGGGGGAGGCCCCTTCTACCTGGGGAGACCCCTGAGATAAAATGGGTGGACGGTAGGCCTCCACCTCCCTCTCCCCCTAGTAAAGTCAAGGCAGAGTGCACATCTCTTCACGTCCCTGTCAGCTTGAGTGCTTTCATGTGACTGAGGCTCAGCTAATGAGATGATCCTGACTGGGATTTCCCCAGGAATGGGAGAATCAGAGCAGCTGAGGACAGTTTGGAGCCCATTCTCGTGGAGACAGTTTGCCCTGTGGGTTGTGTGCTTTGCAGTAGAACCACCTGGAGATTCCAGGGCTATCAAAGGCAATGTGAGTGTCTGGAGTGGACTCCTTTGTTTCTGCCATTTTTTCTCATAGTTTTTCAGCCTTTCCTCTTGATATGGTTTGGCTATGTCCTCACCCAAAATCTCATCTTGAATTGTAGTCACCACAATCCCCACGTGTCCAGGGAGAAACCAGGTGGAGGTAATTAAATTATGGGTGCAGTTGCCTCCATCCTGTTCTGGTGATAGTGAGTAAGTTCTCGCGAGATCTGATGGTTTTATAAGTATTTGGTAGCTCCTCCTGCGTTCATTCTCCCTCCTGCTGCCTTGTGAAGAGGGTGTCTGCTTCCCCTTTTCTCATGCTTGTGAGTTTCCTGAGGTCTTGTCAGCCATGTGAAAATGTGAGTCAGTTAAACCTCTTTCCTTTGTAAATTACCTGGTCTTGGGCACTTCTTTATAGCAGTTTGAGAACAGACTAATACACCCCTCAACTAACCCTCTCATGTTTTTTTAGCGCATCCCTATCACATTTAACTTGAGTAGGTTGTGTTTTTTTTGTTTTGTTTTTTTTTTTGTTTTTTTTTTGTTTTTTTTTCCCCCGCAGTCCAGAACACAGGTGATTTTAACAATTATTGATCTTCCCCACTTGTAGATGAAGAAATTGAGCCTTATGGAGGTTAAGTAACTTGCTTGTGGTTATATAGAAAAGCCAAGCCTCAATTCTGTGTCTTCTGGTTAATGGTCATTTCTTTAACAGCACGCTTTTTTCCATATGTGTGAGTGACCTTGCAGATGCCGAGGTGTGCTTCCTTCCTCCTGTATATCCCCTCCACTGCAGTGCTTACTCCTATTTCCTATTATAGTGCTTTTCTGTTTGACATCAATTTTGGTCTCCCTTACTGGACTGTGGGGCGTCTTGGAAGACAAGGATTATATTATATTCATCTTTTTCTCTCAAACATATACTGGAGTGCCTGGGTGCATACTTACTACTAATACAGATTTTAATGAAAGAGTGAGCAAATAAGGGCATAACTTAACTGAAAATATTGACGATATAGGTTCAAAGTTGTGCTATAAGATTGATTTAAAAAAAAAAAAAACCTATGTTCTTTACCCTTCAAAATTTTAGGATATTTTAAATGAAGTGTTTTTCCTTGTATGTATAAAGATGTTCACAGCCAGGTGCAGTGGCTCATGCCTGTAATTCCAGCACTTTGAGGGGCTGAGGTGGGTGGATCACTTGAGATCAGGAGTTTAAGACCAGCCTGGCCAACATGGAAAAACCCCATCTCAACTAAAAATACAAAAATTAGCCAGGCATGGTGGCACACACCTGTAGTCCCAGCTACTTGGGAGGCTGAGGCATGAGAATTGGTCAAACCTAAGAGGTGGAGGTATCAGTGAGCCAAGACTGCATCATTGCCCTCCAGCCTGGGCAACAGTGAGACTCTGTCTCAATAAAATGAAATAATAAAGATGATCACTTAGTAAACATTTATTACATGCTAGGTTTTAATATGGGAATGAATAAGAATGAGTCTCTTTTCAAAAAAGTACTGCAGATGGATGGGGGAAACAGATGATTCCATAGCTCAGATATTGGAGCTGTGGGCAAAAGAGCTGTGGTAATCTGAAAAGTGAATAGAGCAGCAAGCCCACTGTCAGATGCCATGGGAACCACTAGACTGGCATGGGATACAGCTCTAGGCAGGATACTCTGCACATCAAGGACAATAGCCATAATCCTTTGAAAGCTGCAGAATAGCCCAATGTGCTTTGCTTTTCCAGAATAGTGTGAGATTCCCCTGCTACACAAAATTACCTGTACTCTTAACAAAATTATTTTTTAAAGGCTATAATCAAGTCTCGCTATAAAAAAATGAGTAATTTTAAAATTATGTACCACTTGGAAATAACACATAAGACTATATTTTGGTTTTTTAACAAAGATGAGAATGTAGATAGATCTATATCTCTAAGCATTAAAGCCCAGTACAACAGAAGGAACAAATAAATATATAGAGAGAGAGACAGACACATAGCTGTAGATAGAAAACCATATATATGTGTGTCTATGTATATACATATAAAATAGGATAAAAATGTGTTAATATAATTTCCATTCTTCACAAATAATGTACACAGTAGAAAAAAATATTTAACTCCAAGAATGTTTTGGTATTGTTTACAGACAATTACTACGGTACCCCAAAGCCGCCAGCAGAACCAGCACCATTGTTATTAAATGTAACAGACCAGATACTTCCAGGAGCCACTCCAAGTGCTGAAGGAAAACGGAAGAGGAATAAATCAGTGAGCAACATGGAGAAAGCCAGTATAGAGCCTCCTGAGGAGGAAGAGGAAGAGAGGCCTGTGGTCAATGGAAATGGAGAAGCAGTAACACCAGGTTAGTCATTTAAATTTTTATGGGTCCATAAATTTGCTGTTTTAGATCTAAGATATATATATATATATGTGTGTACACACACACACACACACACACACACACACACAAGAGTAAGATATATATATATACACATATATATCTGTGTGTTCACATGTAAATATATATTACAATTATCTTGAGAGAGAGAAGATTATGATATCAAATGGAAAGGATGTGGAATTAAAGAAGTTGAAAGAATAAGCTGAAAGTGGCCATATTCTTTCAACTTTAATTTTTTATTTCACTTATATAATATCTGTAGCAATATAGTGAATGATTTAATCCTCTAGAAGATTACAAGTTATATATATGGTTGTGTAAAGTTTTTAGGTCTTTGGCAATAATAGAGAATATCTATTCTTAGTAGTCTTGCTATGCTTGCAATTCTGTAAGTAGAGGTTATGTTGTGTGATTTAGTTAACAAGTTGAATGAATACAATCCTCAAAATGGCTACAACTGCAGAATGCCCATGTATTTGTCTCTTCTTCCTTACCACTCAATCTGGAAACATGAAGAATATATCTTTATACATTAACAATGTGAAGCCACTACCCTTGAACAAGGAAAATAATAGCTGTCCCTTTGATTTATGATCATTATACCACATATGTAAAGAATTAGACACAAATATAAAGTGTGTTTCTGCGATGTATGGATTTGCATTTTTCTTATTAATAAAGCATAAGAAATAGATTTTTAAAATACAATTATTCATAATAAAATATTACCAAAACAACAACAAATACTATGGCATTTTGGTAGCCTCTTGGAGAAAGTTTCCAACATTTTACTATTTATTTTTTAATAGTAGCATATCAGTGGGCATTGAAAAAAATCTAAGGTCCTGATTAAAGCTTTTAAAAAACTGTTAGCATGTGTATCTTTCATACATATTATTCTTAAGATTTTTTTATTACCACTTTGATGTCTCCATTTTTATGTTTTGCTGTACTGTTTCTCTACTACCATAGTATTTGAATTTTTATGCTGTTATTTTTATTGAGGAAAAATTTCATAAGCTTACCTTTTATCTTCTTTATTCAAAATGCCTATAAAAGTGTTCTTCACTGAACATAAGGAGATCGAAAATCTAATCTATGCAAATCAAGGTATAAAACCTAAGATACTTTCATCATCTTCATTACTCAGAGGAGGACAGCCTCCTCCGTTAATATATGTGAGTTCTATTCTCTGACTCTAGCATCATTTATGTCTAGATACAAATGCTAAAAATCACTATAAGTAACGTAAGTGTAATGTAAGTAATTGTCAACTATGAGATGATGTGACAATTTTCAAGCAATTACATACCTTCCTCTTTTTTAATTCTGAAGTATCTCTGTCAAAATACTTGCTTTTAATTATATAATTATGTTTGAATTAAATCGATAGTACATAGTTTTCTTAGCTGATCTTTGATATGAAAAGCAGAACAACTCAGCTGGATTGAAGCAGTAACCACAAAAGAAGCAGAGGCTGGGGTCAGATAACAGTTGGAAAATTTCTTGCTGGTTAACATCTAGTGGTTAAAAATGTAAAATATGTGTTCCTGCTAAACCAGGGCCATTGATCCCTATTTCATTTCTAACCTGTGTAGGGCAAATAAAATGAAGAATTCTTGATTCACAGATTTTTAAGCTAGAAATTTATTTAATTGGGGGGCTTACTGAATCTAGAAAGCACCATTCCCTTCTATTCATACCTTTAGCATAAGGATGATGTGCTTTTATGGTTAGGAGGTCTTCATGTTCCCCCGAGAAACTGGATAAAACTGAACCCTTATTGATCAACCTTATGACTGCGTCTGGATCCCTCAGCATGAAGATAGTAGAGAACAAACTGTTCAGCCAACACTAGATTTTCAAGACAGTCAACAGATGCTACCAGCAGTGGCTCTGTAAATAAGCCTGCTGGACAAGTGGCCCTTGTACTGTCCTTTTCTTTCGTGTTATGGGGAGACGAGAGATATACAAATCGGGCAGCCCTTCACCCACTGTTCAAAGATGGGAGGAACAATCTCAAACCAAAAATGGTCCATCATCTGTTATTAGAAGTCTCTTGACAAACGCAGTCTTTGAAATGTCTTTTTTTTTTTTATGTTTATCAAGTAGAGACTTTAGGAATTTCTTTGACCTCCTCTGATATGCATTTTCCAACTCTTCACCTGTTGAACCTCCTCACATTGTTTTTTTCTAGCACAGTGTTTTTGCCCTGCCTTCAGGTTCTTCACATTCTTCCCATTCAGCTGGTACAGGAGATTTCAAAGAGGTTTGAGAAACATGTTCCTGGCTAGGTATGGAGGCTCACACCTGTAATCCCAGTACTTTGGGAGGTCGAGGCAGGTGGATCACTTTCCTAGGAGTTCAAGACCAGCCTGGGCAACATGGCAAAAACCCTCTCTCTGCAACACACACACACACACACACACACACACACACACACACACGCTGGTTATACTGGCATGCACCTACTTGGGAGGCTGAGGTGGGAGGATCACCTGAGCCTGGGGAGGTCAAGGTTGCAATGAGCCATAATGGCGCCACTGCACTTCAACCTGGACAGCACAGTGAGACGTCATCTCAAACAAAAAAAAAAAAGAGAGAGAGAGAAACATGTCACTTAAATTTTAGTAAACACTGCCCTATATGAAGTAACTATAGTAATAATTAATGTCCTTCAATTCAGAGCATAAATATTGTGATCATTGAGGCAGATTTGGAAAATAAAAGCATATTTAGGTAACATTTCATTACAAAGTAATATTGATAATAACAGTAATAAGTAATAAAATAATTCACTTATTTTGAATGTTTACCATGTGTTAGGAGTGGCCTAACCTCATTATAGGTATTAGTTCATTTAACTATCTTAACGGTCCCATTAACTGGGTACTACTTTACAGATTAGGAAACTGAGATACTTGGTCTGGTAACTGGAGTTCAAATATAGGAAGTCTTGGTCCACAACCCATATGCCTGGCTGCCATGCTATCCTGAGTATTATATAACCAAATACAAGCATAAATATATTTCTTAGTGATATGTAAATATATGACCACTATTTTACCTGTACAACTTTAAAAGTAGCATTATAAATTTCTACTTACCCAAAACTCCTTATTGCTTTTATTTATTGAAATCATGTACAGTGAACTTACATCCTTCTTTGCGTATAAAAAGTTCATAGTTTTTTAAATTCTGTTCATATATAAGCATCAAATCTACCAATATTTGGCTTCATATATACTTAACAAAAATAAACTCTTTGCTCTATGTAAATAAAGGTTGTAGATGATTCCTCAGTTTATATCTCATACTTATTTTTTCATCTTTTCTCCTTTGAACTATAGATTATACTTAAAACTGCAGTTTTCTTTTTCTCTCAGACCTTATTAATAACCTTTAAATATATAAGTTCTCCAGGAATTTCTGCTAACATTATCAATGTTATCAAAATTCCTATGACATGTAAATAGTTATTTTACTGAGCATTCTTTCCTTCTGCTCAAAATTACACCAGACACACAGAGTTAGCCCATGGCACCTAGGAAAACCATATAATGATTTTTCAGCGTCAGATCAGAAATGTTTCTCTCTCTTCCATACATTGCCTTGGCAATGGAAATCAGTACGATTCTATCCTTAGAGATGTGGTTTTATCCTTGTCAGTAACAAAAAATTAGAAAAAATAAAAATAAGGCCAAGCATGTTGGCTCACGCCTGTAATTCCAGTACTTTGGGGGGCCAAGGCAGGTAGATCACGAGGTCAGGAGTTCAAGACCCTCTGATCAACGAGGTCAGGAGTTCAAGACCCTCTGATCAACATAGTGAAACCCCGTCTCTACTAAAAATACAAAAATTAGCTGGGAATGGTGGCACAAATCTGTAATCACAGCTACTCGGGAGGCTGAGGCAGGAGAATCGCATGAACCCGGGAGGCAGAGATTGCAGTGAGCCGAGGTCATGCTGTCGCCCTCCAACCCCAGCAACAGTGTGAGACTCCATCTTAAAAAGAAAAAAAAAATAAAAATAAACAATAATGGCCACTCTACTTTAATGGATACAAACAATGGACCAGGCATATAATGTATACATATACTGTCTCTTATCCCATAATAATTCTGTACTTATTTTATGAATGAGATAGTGGAATTTTGCTTAAAGTGCTTAACTAAAGTTTATTTACTGGCAGGGTTGAGATTTGGATCTAGTAACACCTGAACTCACCCTCTCTCCAACACACTTCCCAGAACTGTTAACCATGCCAAGGACAAAGTGACTTCCGACCTAGCTAGAGTAAATCACAATCCTGCAGCTTAGAGGATTTATTCTACACTGTATTCCATTGTATTTGTCCCTTACTAGGCTCAAGGCAGTGATGTTAGATTTAATGTAAGTATGATGTATCCTTATGTCATCTTACAGATTGTTTTTGAACTGATGTTTAAAATTCATATCCTCTGGAAACCTTCCCTGACATTAACTTCACCTATATTTAGATACTTTCATCTTTCTGTTTATCTTGTTAGAGTTGACATCAGCCCCGTTGCTTCAAATTCTATAGATTTATCTGCACCCTTCACTGCTCTCCTGTGTTTAAGGTATATTTCTAACTACCACAGGACAGCTTCACCTAAGCATTATTTCAGCAACTGAAATGCAACACGTTTCACTTAAACTCTTCTCCCACAGAACAAACAAGCAAACCGATTCACAAAGCCCTTTACTTGATTTCTCTAATTCTACTTTTCACCCAGATGCCTCATAATTATCTTTAATGTTTCTTTTCTCCATTCTTGGTATTTTTTATTAGGCACAAAAGGGCCCTTGGTTTCCATCCTTTCCTTCGAAATATCACTGCACCATCCTAGAGTACTGCTTTATTAACTCATTTGTAGACTGTAGTTCCCTAACTGATCTGTATGCCTCCAGGATCCTTCCTGATCAAATTACCTTTCATT